GCTTTGGAGACAAATAATGAAGAAAATTGCTGTTTTTTTTTTTTTTTCGTTATCTTATTTTTGCTTTTGTTTTGAAAACCAAATGACCGACTGACACACGGTTTGTTTAGTTTCATATCTTGGCGTTGACTTTTCGACGGCCTCCCTCCGGCGCTCTGCAGTCTGATTTCATTTGGATCTGATCTGAGTCCCGAGGCGCCGCGTGGATGTGCGTTATCTCAGCTCTCGTTTACTCACATCCTCTTCATCCTCCTCTTCATCCTCCTCTTCATCCCTCTTCATCAGCCCGTCCTCTGCACACGTCACTTCACTTCACCCGCTCTCCAGTCACACCGTCTCCTCCCGTCACCGCTCGTCTCCACCGCTGCTCCGCCGCGTTACCGTCCAAAAAGAAAAACTCAAGACGCTGAATCCCTGTGTCGTTCGTTCAGTCCTTTTTCAAAATAAAACCAAAAATAAGAAAATGAAAAACACAACGATTTTCTTCATTATTTGTCTCCAAAACCAAAAAAAAAAAAAAAAAACAGATGATGTTTTTTCAGTTTTTTGATTTTGTGTTTAAATGAAAAATGGAAAAAACGGATAATGGACTAAACCAGGTCTAAACCAGGACTAAAACAGGACTGAACAGTTTTCAGTCCTGGTCTGGTCCTGGTCTGGTCCCGGTCTCAGTCCTGGTCTCAGTCCTCGTCGGGTCCTAGTCTGGTCCCGGTTTCAGTCCCTGTCTGTTCCTAGTCCCAGTCTCAGTCTCGGTCTGGTCTCGGTCTGGTCCCAATCTGGTCCTGGTCTCAGTCCTGGTCTGTTTTCGGTTTAGTCCCAGTCTCAGTACTAGTCTCAGTCCTGGTCTGGTCCTGGTCTGGTCCCAGCCTCAGTCTTAGTCTGATCTTGGTCTAAGTCTATTTTATGCTGAACTACAGACACGTTTTTTCTCTTCTATGCACATGCAGATTTCTGAAAGTTTCGTTTTGAGCCGCTGCCAAACTCCCACGAGTCTGAACGCGACGGGAAGAGAAACAAAGTGAGAGAAACAGAAAACACGGCTCCCAATAAGGATCAGGCTCCTGTCGTTCGCTTCAAAGAGCCGAATCTAAGAGCCGCTTCGTTTGCGACCGACCATCACTACTAGTTAGTAAAGAAACTACTGCTATCAGCCTTTAGCCGTAAATGCTGCGCGCCGCGGTCATTAATTATATGTGTAAATGTTGATCATTCACACCTCTGTTCACAGCTCATTTACATCAATGCAACTCAAGTAACAAATATACAGACAATATAATCACTTTACAACAGACCAATAGAAAACAGTCTGTTTATGTGTGAGAGACACAGCAGATCATCACTAAACAATGAGGAAAAACAAAACACATCACAAGTCTGAACTAATAAATGTCCTTTTAATCCAGACTCAAACCGATTGTCTGTAAAAAGAAAATAATCTCAGTGTTTGGATCTTTGTGTGTGAGTGTAAACAAACACACATGAGTGACGTGACACTGTGGTGTGTTCAGGGACAGTACGACACACAAATACACACACACACAGACAAATGACACAGATAAAAACTGATGTGGAGCCACATGTTTGAACATTTATCTGTCTGTAAATTGGATTAAATGAACAGAATGTACATGCACATGGGAAATATCAGCAAGATTTAGATCGATCGCCGATATGTTTCCAGGTGCCCTGATACATATCGGTCGGGCCCTAGTCTGTACGTAGCCTTACATGACATCACAAGGTGGAACAGAGCGTATCTGTGTGAGAGAAGAACTCCAGGTGTGTTTCTGATGAGGAAACGTAACGCAGATCAGAAAATATCTCACCCTGGAGCTCAGACCTCGACATAAACATTCTGAAACCCGCTCCGACCGTCGACATGACTCACGACGCTGAAGCAGAAATGGATTTTGTGATTAATTCGGACAGATTATCCCGGCGCTCGCGTGTGTGTGTGTGTGTGTGTGTGTGTGTGTGTGTGTGTGTGTGTGTGTGTGTGTGTGTGTGTGTGTGTGTGTGTGTGTGTGTGTGTGTGTGTGTCAGGGCACGGACCATTCAGCCGAACAAAAGACCAGCCTCGTCTTGATTATTGTTTACCTGCAATTAGCTTCCATTGGAGCGCGGCCCGACAGTGGCCCCGCGTCGTGTGGGGGGGGATTGTTTCGTTGGCGTTTGGACGGGCGGCGTTCCCCCCCCCCCGTCTCTCTCTCGATCTCTGGCAGGTGAAATGAGGCTTAAGTGGAGCGGTGGAATCATCTCGCCTGGTAAAACGCTCAAAGTGGAACACGGCGCCGTCCAAACGCCAAACGTCTCCATCTGTTTTCACGTCTTTCACTCCGCGGCTCCATTTACACGACGTCTCATTTCACACCATCATGTCATTTTGGAAAACATCTCCCGGCGGGGTTTTATTTATTTATTCTGTGTTTGGTCTGAACCAGGACTGAACCAGGTCTAAACCAGGACTAAACCAGGACTAAACCAGGTCTAAACCAGGTCTAAACCAGGACTGAACCAGGACTAAACCAGGACTGAACCAGGACTGAACCAGGTCTAAACCAGGACTGAACCAGGACTAAACCAGGTCTAAACCAGGACTGAACCAGGTCTAAACCAGGTCTAAACCAGGACTAAACCAGGACTAAACCAGGTCTAAACCAGGACTGAACCAGAACTAAACCAGGACTGAACCAGAACTGAACCAGGACTAAACTAGGACTGAACCAGGTCTAAACCAGGACTAAACCGGAACTGAACCAGGACTAAACCGGAACTGAACCAGGACTAAACCAGGTCTAAACCAGGTCTAAACCAGGTCTAAACCAGGTCTAAACCAGGACTGAACCAGGACTAAACCAGATCTAAACCAGGACTGAACCAGGTCTAAACCAGGACTAAACCAGGACTAAACCAGGACTAAACCAGGTCTAAACCAGGACTAAACCAGAACTAAACCAGAACTGAACCAGGTCTAAACCAGGACTAAACCAGAACTGAACCAGGACTGAACCAGGTCTAAACCAGAACTGAACCAGGACTAAACTAGGACTGAACCAGGACTAAACCAGGACTAAACCAGGACTAAACCAGGACTGAACCGAGGACTGAACCAGGACTGAACCAGGTCTAAACCAGGACTGAACCAGGACTAAACCAGGACTAAACCAGGACTGAACCAGGACTGACCCAGGTCTGAACCAGGACTGAACCAGGACTGAACCAGGACTGAACTAGGTCTAAACCAGGACTGAACCAGGTCTAAACCAGGTCTAAACCAGGAATAAACCAGGTCTAAACCAGGACTGAACCAGGACTGAACCAGGACTGAACTAGGTCTAAACCAGGTCTAAACCAGGAATAAACCAGGTCTAAACCAGGACTGAACCAGGACTGAACCAGGACTGAACTAGGTCTAAACCAGGTCTAAACTAGAACTGAACCAGGACTGAACCAGGTCTAAACCAGGTCTAAACCAGGACTGAACCAGGTCTAAACCAGGTCTAAACCAGGACTAAACCAGGACTAAACTAGGACTGAACCATGTCTAAACCAGGTCTAAAGTAGAACTGAACCAGGACTAAACCAGGTCTAAACCAGGACTAAACCAGGACTGAACCAGGACTAAACTAGGACTGAACCAGGACTAAACCAGGTCTAAACTAGAACTGAACCAGGACTCCTTAGGCAAGGCACTTCCCCCACATTGCGTCGTATGAAAGCGGCGTGTGCGTGAGTGATCGTCGGCGGTCGCTGAGGCCGATGGTGCGGATCGCCAGCCTCACTCCCGTCAGTCGCTCAGCGTCCCCGAGTGTGGAGCGAAAGAACGAGGAGGGCAGTGAGGAGCTCTGACGACGTCCACAAACCTCTAAAGTCAATTATTAAAGAGAGCTGGACGACAGGTCAGAATTCTACGGGGAAATTTCCTGTTTAAACAGTCCAGCTCATGCAAAATCAACTTTTCAGGTCTTTCTACCTTCTCCGAGTGATGTGTGGGCCTTGGATTTATCGTTTTTTTCAACAAATTGCAGCGTATTTCTGCCGCCCTCCCACGTAACGACCAACTAAAGCTGCTACAACGATGACGCGGCAGATACACCTATGACGCACTTTTGCATCACGGAATACCACAGATTTCCTCCTGAAAACTCTCGTCTACATTCTAGACTTAGTACCGGTATTTGTTTGGTCTTAATTGAGTTGTATCTGGTGTTGGTCTTATTTTTCATTTACGTGGTCTTATAAAGGTCTTAAATTTGCGGTAGTCAAACCCGGGGACACTCTGTTATACGTGTTTGCTGTGTGTTTTGTATGAAAGAGTGTGAGTTTTATTTTACGTTTTATATTTATTTATTTTCATGTGTATTTCTGGTCCTGTAGCTTTTATCACAGCCACGTGACACAACTCCAGCAGCAGATTGTGAATAAAAAAAAAATAAAAACGTTTAACACGTCATTAGGGGGTAAAAGGGGGAGATTTAAACGCAAAATTAAGAAAAAAAAAATTCAGGTGAGGACATGTGCCAAAATCTCGCTTGTCTTGGTCTTTAATGGTTAAAGAAAATTGTTCTTTCGTTGCTTGAGGAATAAATGCCAGATTAATAACACATTTGGACAGGTTTAGTCAGATTTTATTTGAGTTTAAAGAAAATAAACACACTTAAAACTGAAGTATCGTAACTGAAAAAGCTGGATCTGTGTGTGAATCCTTCTGAACTCTGTAGTTTCGAGCTCGACACACATTTTGAAACATTCCTAAATCGCTCTGCCTGTCGACACGACTCAACGGTAAAACACAAATGGATTTTGTCATTAATTTGAGTAGATCTCGGTTCTTTCGCTCCATTCCTCCATTTACGAACCATTTCATCTCACACCATCACGTCGTTTTGGAAAACCTCTCCGTGTTTGTGTGTTTTTGTGTGTGTTTTGTGTGTTTTCTCTCTGCTCTGTGGCTCTGTCGTGTGATTCAGTTTTGTGTTGTGTGTTTTTTGTGTGAACAGGACGAGGTGGAGGCGGAGAATCGAAGAAACACTCGCACCAAAGTGACGCCAAAGCTGACCCCACACAAGGAGGAGGTGAGTGCACCGAGAGGCCGGGGGGAGGGGCCGGGGAGCGGCTGAGAAGAAGATGAACGTGGAGGTGGTTCAACATCATTTCTACTCATGCTCCTCACTGACATTTGTTCTTAGACTCTTTATGAAAAACTTTATTTATACAGGTCTAAAACCAGGACTAAAACATTTTTAAAACCAGATCTAAAACATTTTTAAACCAGATCTAAAACATTTTTAAACCAGATCTAAACCAGGTCTAAAACAAGGACAAGAACAGGTCTAAAACAAGGACAAGAACAGGTCTAAAACATATCTAGAACAGGACCAAAACCAAGACTGAAAATCAGTTTGTTTGACATTAAACCTGAATAATGAAACAAACTCTTTTTCCATTTTATTGTTTTTTGTTCTTAGTTGAAATTCGTGTTTCTGATTCTGCTGAGCTCTTTGAATGACTTGATGTATGAACAGTTAAATAAACTGGTTAATCTCCTTCTCATGTGACTCATAAACTCTTCTCTCCTTCTCGTGTGACTCATAAACTCTTCTCTCCTTCTCGTGTGTCTCAGAAGCCGAGTGCGTACGGTCGTCATGATTCCCAGAGCAGCCTCCGCAGCAGGAAGGACGCAGGAACTCTGCAGAAGATCGGAGACTTCCTCCAGAGCTCCCCCACGCTGCTGGGCTCCAAAGGTCTGTGCTACAAAACTCCTCCTACACACACGATTATGTGACCAATAAAATTATATTAAAACACCTTTATTTTGACATCTTTAGTGTCACATCGTCAATGTGGAACTCTCTAAAAATGAAATCTCTACTCCTAAAACTTTCAACACATTTTTCAATTTTCCTTCACAAATTTCTTCGTGATTTGTGTAACTCTGTAATTTATAAAAAGTCTCTCCTCTCTCTGTTCCTGCTGCTGTGGCCTCGTCATTTTTAATCCACTCTACATGATCCTGGGGGTTTTATTTAAGACAAGTTCCATATTAGGAAGAGGAAATTCCTAATTCCTGTTCCTAATCCTAATGTGGAACTTGGCTCCAAATTGGCACCTATAACCGCAGGCCTCGATGAGCTTCATTTGACTGGAGCCAAACGCTGTGGGTGACGTCACCCCCCCCCCAGAACACTTCATTACCCGTCCTGAACGCTGCACGACCTGCGCCTTTAAACCAGAACTCTAACCAGGGTCTAAAACTAAAACAAGGACTAAAACCAAGACTAAACCAGGACTAAACCAGGACTAAAAACGGGTCTAAAAACAGGTTTAAAAACAGGTCTAAACCAGGATTTAGCCCAGACTTAACCATGCCGTGCGGCCTCCTCCCCCAAACCTCCTCTGGTCCACAAAATATGATCTGATATAAAACCTCAGAACAGTTTGGGGACCACAGCTGTAATGTTGTTGTTTCATTGACATATTTTACTCAGAAAAAAATGACATGAGATTTTTAATTTTTTGTGTCGTAAAACGTATTGAAATCAAATCGATATCGTGACCTCGTGTATTATATTTGTGGGAAAATAGTATCGTCGCATCATATATATACAGTATGATCCCACCAAATATGTCATACGTACTTTAAAGCCACAGTGCGGAACATTCCAGGCAAAACAATAACATCTCTGTGAAGACAAGAAAAGTGAGAGCAGCTCTAGGCAGAAATCTTTAATGACATTTAAAGCCACGAACGATATTAAACTCCAATTTCCGAGCACCTGCACCTGCGCTGACAGAGAAGATCAACAAACAGGAAACAGGAGAAGTTTGGTTTGGTTTTGTGTTTGTTTTTTATCTGACTTGGCGACTTTTTGTAAAAGAATCGGCGGTGAGTCGTGTGTTGTTGTCAAACACGCCGGGGTCCGGGGGGATTAACCTGAGCTTAGAGCGTTCAGCCTGAAAATCTGCACACAAATCCAAAATGAGAATAATCTTGTTGAAAGACGCAGAGGCTCGGCCCGTCTGCCTTTTACGGGAAACATCTCTGCGCTCGCGGGGAAGAGTCAGGACAAAAACTCAAACACAATTCACATTATTAGACAGACTGCAGCAGATTTACCAAACATGCAACTGTGCGACGGTTAATGGAGTATTTTTATATTAAAAATCACAAAATATTATCACATTTTGATTTAAAAGGTTCACTGTCTTTATGATGAAACCTGTATTGTAGGAAATGACAATTATTAATTAACAAATTAACAAACATTAGGCTCCGTTTACACTGAAACGAATCACATTGTTATGTTATGTCGTTTCTGTGTCCGCAATACCTGGTCTCAGTTCTGATCATCCGACCTCCGGGCCCGTCCCAACAATCAGTCCTGGTTCAGTCCTGGTTCAGTCCTGGTTCAGTCCTGGTTTAGTCCTGGTTCAGTCCTGGTTTAGTCTGTATGCAGCTCAAAAGTCCGACATGCAGGACTCTGGCCTGATGTAAGTTTGTGTGTTTGCGCTGAAACTAAAAAAAAATAAAAAAAATTGTGGATGAAATCGCAATATCAATATCAGAAAAATTGCAATAACATTTTTTCTTGAAATTGTTCGGCCCTGCTCCAGGTCGGTTTGTGACGAGGAAACTACATTAGAAAATATTATAATCCAGGTCCTTTAAATCTAAAACCGCGAGCTTTTAGAGAATTTGGTGTCGACATCTTCGTTATAAAAACTCAAACTGATCACTAACCGTTTATAATAATGAAATAAAAGTGTTTTAGCTGCAGGTCTGGGAGATTCTTTTAAACATGACCAAAGTTTCTGAAGGTAAAAGTCTTTTTGTTTTGTCTCCACAGCGAAGAAGATGATGGGTCTGGTGAGCGGGCGCGACGTGGACCCGTCTGGCTCCTCCCCCTCGCTCAGGTCCAAGAAGAACAAGAGGAAACTGTACCGACCCGAGATCTCCTCCCCCATGGACATGCCCCCCCACCCGGTCAGTGACACCCGCAGCAGCACCCAAAGGACACACAAAACTCACACACAAAACTCACACACAAAACTCACACACAAAACTCACACACAAAACTCTTCATCTGTTTGTTTTTAACTGTGCTCAGGTAAATACTGAGACCGACACTGAGCCTCATTTGTGAAACTTTCTTATGAACATTTTTGGCCTTCACAAAACTTTTTCTCATCTGAAAAGAACAAATCTTACGAGAAGTCGTTGGAAATAAAAATTCTACGGTTTTAGAATATTATTACTCTGATAATGTAACAAAAAATTTAAATTCTTCCACGATTGTGAGTGATATATTTTCTTAAATTATTTCCTGTAAACACTGTGATCTGTGTGATCCAAAAACATTTATGAGGAGTTTTTGAGAGCCTGTGGTTTATTGGGTCTCAGAGTTTCTCGAGGCTGCAGTGAGTCTCAGTCTGTCACAGCCCTGAGCCTGGACACTGGAAAATGTGATAAATACGAAGAAAGAGAACGATTATTTCAATAAGTTTGACTTAAATCTTCCTTCCTGTGTGTGTTCATGTGAGTTTAGACGTGTGAAATCCTCGCTGAAGCTGTAAACCAGCCGTGGTCTGTAGATGCTCCACCTGACCTCCCATTGTTCCAACTTGTCATCATTATTATTATTATTATTTATTACAAATTATTTCCAAACCTCGTCTCGTCTTGTTCTCGTGGTGTCTCGACTCATCCTATTGTTATTAGTCACTCATAATAAGTTTATTTGGATATTTCATAAAAGATCAGTTTCATTATGTTCCAACAATAATTGACAGATACAAAAAGGTGAAGCTCTCGATTTACCGTCAGTCTTCATTCCTCCTCTCACCTCTGGTCATGAGCTCTGGGTAGTGACCGAAAGGACGAGATCACAGATACAAGCGACACAAATGAGTTTCCTCTGCAGGGAGTCTGGGCGCTTCCTTAGAGATAGAGTGAGGAGCTCGGAGTAGAGCTGCTGCTCCACGTGGAGAGGAGCCAGGTGAGGCTCGGGCGTCTGTTCTGATGCCTCCTGGACGTGTCCCTCAGGAGGTGTTCATGTTCCACCGGGAGGAGGAAGACCCAGGACACACTGGAGGGACTTTGTCTCTGGACTGGGAACACCTCAGGGTTCCCCCGAAGGAGCTGGAGGAAGTGTCTGGGGTGAGGGAAGTCTGGGAGTCTCTGCTTAGGCTGATGCCCCCGTGACCCGGCCCCATGTGGATAAGTGGAAGAAAATGGATGGATGGATAAAAAGGCAATTATTTTGCGTTACTAATCACAAACAGAAGCTCCAAAAAAAGGAGAGGGAAGAAAAATGAATCATATAAGAATAAATCACATTACTCCAGATACTAAATGAAATAAGTGCGTTTCAAAAGGTTTTAGTCACATTTAATTTGCTTAAATTCCTTCTTCTGCACACTTGGCTCTTCACTCAGAGTTCCAGATTTTGACCCAAAAACTGAAGTACAAGAACTTTTCCTGGTTGTTTGGACTCTGGACGTTCATTTAGTTGAAAATCAAACTCTTAAACAGAATCGTGACGCTCGGACTGATCACACGCTCCTGAAAATGTGCTCTTTAAATCCAGTTTGTGTTTTTCTTGAGTGTTCAGAGTCGAAAAACTCCTCAGACTGTTTGGTGATGAACTATAGTAACTGCTGAACATTCCTCCGTTGACATGCACGTAGTCCCCCCCCCACCACCCCGCCGTGATGTCACCGCAGAGCATCAACAGGAGCTCTGCCGTGGTGACTGTGACTGTGCGCTCGCCTCTCTGGAGATCTGACCCGTATCTTGGTTTGGAAACAACACCTGCTCGTCTCCGCGGAGGAGAGTTTAAAGTCGTTCGACCTTTAGAACGTTCCAGACAAAAAACAACAACGTCTCTGCGGCTTTCAGGACGAGACGATTCTGAAAACGAGAAAACCAGAAACACATTTACAAAAACTGATCTGAGTTTTATTCAGCGGCGTCTTTTTTTCTCCACATTTTACATTTATTTTAATATTAAAGGGCCTTTCTTACACTATTTTTATCCATGTTATAATCCGAGTTCCTCAGCAAAAACACACACAGACGTTTACTTTCATTCACACAAGTTTAACACACGAATCCCGAAGGCTTTGTTCACCTTATGATGTCATGAGGTGATACAGGAAGTGCTCCACCTTGTTTTTTAAACTCCACACACCTTCGCTGGAATCATTTGGATCGTTTCAGTCCTGGAGCTGCCGATCTCTGACCTGAAGGAAAAAGGAGCTGTTCACTTGAAAACTACCACTTCATGACGTCACAGGTGGAGTTTTCAGGCCGACAGAGAATCGCACCTAATGTCAAACCGAAAACCAGATCATTCAGAAACCGAAAAACTTACGTCAGGAGGTTCGTCCAGGTCACACGCCGTAAAATAAACAAAGAAAACGTTTTGTTCCGTGATCAGAATCTGTGTCGTTTGTTCGTTTGTTTTTCAAAATAAAACCAAAAATAAGAAAATGAAAAAACAACAGTTTTCTTCATTATTTGTCTCCAAAACCAAAATGAAAAAACAGATACTGATGATTCGTTTTTTTCAGTTTTCGATTTTGTGTTTAAATGAAAAATGGGGGGGAAAAAAAAAACAGATAACGACCGTTTCCCGTTTATGAGACTTAAACTGCGACACCGGACTGAACCAGGACTAAACAGGACTAAACCAGGACTAAACCAGGACTAAACCAGGACTAAACTGGTCTCAGTCTTAGTCTGGTCCCGGTCTCAGTCCTGATCACCCAGTAGTCTATGCGGACGCACCTCCGGGCCCGTCCCCGTCCTGGTTTGGTCCTGATTTAGACCTGATTTATTCCTAGTTACACCTGGTTTAGATCTGGTTTACTCCTGGTTTAGTTCTGGATTAGTTCTAGTTCAATCCTGGTTTAGTCCCGATTTAGACCTGGTTTAGTCCTGGTTCAGTCCTGATTTAGACCTGGTTCAGTCCTGGTTTAGACCTGGTTTAGTACTGGTTTAGTCCTGGTTTAGACCTGGTTTGGTCCTGGTTTAGACCTGGTTTAGACCTAGTTTAGACCTGGGTGACTCCTGGTTTAGTTTTAGTTCAGTCCTGGTTTAGTCCCGATTTAGACCTGGTGTAATCCTGCTTTAGTCCTGGTTTAGTCCTAATTTAGTCCCGATTTAATCCCGGTTTAGTCCTGATTTAGACCTGGTTTAGTCCTGGTTTAGTCCTGGTTTAGACCTGGTTTAGACCTGGTTTAGACCTGGTTTAGACCTGGCTTAGTCCTGGTTTAGACCTGGCTTAGTCCTGGTTTAGACCTGGTTTAGTCCTGGTTTAGACCTGGTTTAGACCTGGTTTAGTCCTGGTTTAGACCTGGTTTAGACCTGGTTTAGTCCTGGTTCAGACCTGGTTCAGTTCATAGTTTATACAGTTTAAGTTTCGTAAATGGAAAACGGATGTTATCTCTTTTTTTCCATTTTTCATTTAAACACAAAGTTAAAAACTGAAAAAAAACAAATCTTTATCTGTTTTTTCATTTTGGTTTTGGAGACAAATAAAAACTGGAGTCGGCAGAAACTCGTGAAGCTCGTGTAGAAACTGGAACCATCAGTATCACTTATTTATGTTGTTCCTCTTTTGAAAACACGTTTTAAAGCGATGGGGCGGTCAGAGCGCGGCCCCCCGCTGGGTCCTGAGCCACGAAAAGCAAACGAAAGCAAAATGTGTCTCAAAAAAAAAAAAGACGACAAAAATAAACTTCAAACTCACTTCACGTCGGCTCGAGTTTCTTAAAAGCAGTTTGTTAAAAGTCCAAACTTACACGAAACGAACTCGAGAGTTTTAAACCTGTTCTAATAAACAAACAAATAAAAGAAAAGGTCAGCAAACTTTCAATAAAAGAATGATAAAAATAATTTAAAATGTTGGACGATACATTAAAAGAGCTGAGCTGAACCCGCTGCTGTCCTCGTTTGGTGATGTGCTCAGTGTTTTTATCAAACCTTAGAGAAGAATCAAACACAGTTCCCAAGTGTTTATGAGTCCAACATTTCTACAGCTTCCCCATGGACGGAGCTTTTGGGCTGTGGACTTTTTTCCGGACGTTCACAACCATTTCTTTGGTTTTAGCTTCATTTAGGTCGGGTTGGTTTTTATCACATCGTTCAATGAAAGCAGGTGGAGCTCGGCCGTGGTCTGAGTTTGCTCCTGCAGGAGAGAGGACGACCGTATCATCTGAGAACTTGATCATGTAGCTGCCCTCGTTTGTGGATTTACAACTGTCTGTATACAGAATATAAAGCAGCGGAGACAAAACACAACCCTGGGGAAACCAATATTTGAAACGATGGGATTGGACATTTCCCCATTTACCAGGAGACTCTGTGTGCGGCGGGTTAAGAAGTTTAAAAGTAGCAATAAAAGCTGATCAGGTCGACTAAAAAGAGAAGCTAATCTCTCAATTAAAATATCTGTCTGCATCTAATCTTTAATGATGATTTAAAATAATATGTAAACAGGTGACCTTGTTCGGTGGAATTAGATCAAAATGATCCCAAACCATTTATCACTTTTTTCCACTTGTAGACGCCATCGAAAATGAAACAAACGCCAAAAGTCGCCAAAATCACCACTAACGTCACACAATCCTCCTCACTACCAACAGTTTTGAACAAATATTGGTGCATCTTTTATACTGTAGCAGTTTAGCGCTCGTCAAACCACAGACGTGAGATGAACACTCTGAAACACTCTGAACCAATCACAGAGCGGAACATTCGCTGAGCCAATGAAACGCTTCGATACACTGAAGCGATGGACACGCAGAGTGAAGCAGCAGGGGGAGGGACCCACACTTCCACACTTTGGTCACGTGAGCGGCTGCTGCGAGACGAGCTCCGAGAGGCAGCGCTTCAGAGTGATTTGTTTCAGAAAGAACGAGACATGATCCAGAGCTCCGACTCATTTGCCCGTCTCTTCTTTATAAAACTTAAAATACTTAAAATACAATCTCTGTACTGGGGCAAGACAAATACGACTTTAATTGCACTTTGCTTTGGGTGTAACTAGGCCTGTAACGATAATCAATAAATCAATTAATTGTACGATAACTTTTAACGAGCTCGATAACTTTTCTCACCACGATAAATTCTATTTGCAGTTTGTTTGTTTTCCTCGCTCTCTGATCCTCTCGTTTAACAAACGTAATGACGCTTGAACCAAACGTGCAGAAACACAAGCGCCGCTGTCAGAACCAAAACAGTTCATCTCCGAGTGACAAAACAAGTCACGATGCCGAATCAACACGAGTGAACGGGACACGTGTCGACAGCCGCGTGCGTCAAATGCAGCGAGCGAAACCAAACGACGAGAAAAAATGTCTCAAACCCCAACAGCCGACATAAACCCAAACCCGAGCGACAGAACAAGACTAGCGCCCGACACGACACAGACAGAACAGAGTCGTGAGTTAATACGAACACTTCAAGACCAAAGTCTACGTTCAGTCTGCAGGACTTAACGCTCAGTTCTGATTTTTTTGTGAAATCCGATGTTTTTTCGCGGTCGTTCACATTTCCAGTTAAATGTGACTTGTATGTGACTCCAGTGTGAACATTAAACGGTCCAAAAGTGTCCCACATGTGACACTGGAGACACGACGACGTCAACCGCAGCGAGCGTCTCTGTGTTTACACAAGTTGAACAAACATGGACGCAGCATCGAGCACCTGGAGATTTTAAAGTTCCTCTCGTACCGGAGCCACAACATGAACAACTGACTTGTTTTAAGGAGGAGATTGAGAAGGAGAAGGAGCAGGTTTTTGGTCCTGGTGTTTTGTGGTGAGTGGAGATGTGCTTCACTTCAGTCACATGGATCATGAACAGTTTTCTCCTACTTCAGTGCAGAATAGTGACGTTTGTGTCTTGTTGATGACGTGTAGGTGGATGAACCGTTCACACTGAAGTCACATGTTAAAGATCAGATATGGATCAGTTTCAGGAGCACAGATCCAAGTGTCCTGGGTCACGTTTGAAAACATCAGATCTGTGTGGTTCAGACGTCATTAAAAGATCAGATGCAGGAACATAGAGACAAAAAATCAGATTTGGGTCACTTCAGGTGGAGACTGAACACAGCAGCAGCCAAAGAGAAACGAGACACAATATTCCAACGTAAGTCAACGACTAAAATCACTTTTAAGGACAATTTTGTTACAGAGACTTAAAATGTCAATATTATCGTTTATCGCAATAAATTCTTGGTCAGTTAATCGTCCTGCAAAAGTTGTCATCGTTACAGAAAACTTTTGTTCGCTCTGACGTCTCTGTGTGTTTCAGATCATTAACCGAGCGGCGGAGGAGAAGGAGAGCGACCACCAGATCATCAAGAGAAATCTGCGCTCGCGAGTCGTCAAATAAAACACTGCAAACGAACATTCAGCACATATATAAACACTTATATACACGACGCGCGTAAAGGTGCACCGAGGGACATTTCTAGCGAAGAGTTTGCCGCTTGGAGATGTTCTCGCTTTGTCTAGAATGTTCCAAAGTGTACGTTAAACCTCTCCGTCACAAGAAGGTTATGTTACAGCTCAGATCTGTGGAGAGGAGCGTCTTTAGACCTTTTTCATGACGTCCGGAAGCGTCGCAGTGAAGGCAAACGGTTAATGCTTTTCTACAGCAAAATGTGTGTCATTTTCTCCAGCAGTTTTATAAATCTGCTCCATCACCAAATCTTCAACCAACAAACTCCACAAACGATAAACATGAAGAATTTGTCCACAACGATCAAGAGAAGAAAGACCGAAACTTAAAGACGAACAAAAACGACGACGCTTTAATCTTCCGATAAATTCTGTTTTTAGGTTCTTCATTCGGACCAAGAGTTTGACCCGAGTCAGAGAGTTTGACGAGAACCAAAATCTGGATAAATGAGCCGATGGGACACGTCACGGCAACGTCACGAGACTCAGAGGAAGAACGAAAACGGTCAGTATGAAAAACAAACTCTTGGACTGAACGAAGAACCTGAACAACGACGACGAAGCATCAGAGAACAACTGAACAAAACTAACGTAAAGGTCATGAAGAAAACACAAGGAACTGATTCTAGGATTTTAAAAATTCAAAATCGATTTCATGATGTTGATATTTTTAAACTTATGAGGTTTTTCATCTTGTTTTCAGGTTTATTATCGACTAATAGACCTGAGAGCTTCATTCTCGTCTCGAGGTCGTTTATTTCAAGAAAACTTGTCAAGTAAAATGATGTTGCTGCATGGACACGTCATTTCTCCACTTTTAAGTCTTTTTCTGATACATTTAAGTGTTTATTATCTTAAACTTTGGTCAAGTTTTTTGTGCAGTGTTGAGACAGACGGGTTTAATCTCTACTGTGGAACTTTCTCGTCGTTGTTCAGGTTCTTCGTTCAGTCCAAGAGTTTGTTTTTCATACTGACAGTTTTCGTTCTTCCTCTGAGTCTCGTGACGTTGCCGTGACGTGTCCCATCGGCTCATTTATCCAGATTTTGGTTCCGTCAAACTCTCTGACTCGGGTCAAACTCTTGGTCCGAGTGAAGAACCTAAAAACATGAATTTATCAGAAAACAAAATGAACCCGATCGGACTCATTCGTCTTTAAGTTTTCGTCTTTCTTCTCTTGACAGTTGTGGATAAATTCTTCTTGTTGGTTGAAGATTTGGTGACGGGGGCAGATTTATGAAGCTGCGGGTGAAAACGACACACACACACACACACACACATTTGGACACGGAAAACCATGACCCGGAAGTTCCACAAACCTGAAAAACCTTGTGAAAAAGATCAATCCACAGAAATTTTTGCGCGACGGAAACACTCGTCACGAATCGATTTTTAGATGGAAATGTCATAAAGTCACACCGCGGAACATTCCAGGCAAAGCAGTCACATCTCCACGGCGAAGTAAAGCTCCGCAGTGCACCTTTAAAAGTATTTCCCCGCGTTTCATTTCATTTGTTACTTTAGTTTAAACGTAGCTGGTATTTTGTCGTCTAAAAAAAGTGTTGATATTTTTTCCTCTTTTCCTGTGTTTTATCTGTAATTCTATAAATTATAATCACTGTGTTTTTGTTTGTTTTTCCATTTTTATCTATTTTATTTCACGTGCAATCTTTAGGAGAGGCTGTGCTGTAGTTTCTTCCCTTGACTTTAGCCACGTTCACGTTTGCGTCGAACGATGAACCTCTGAAAGCTGCTACTCGAAGCGTTTAGTTTAGTTGAAACGTGCCGCAGATCAGATCGACTCCTCGCTCCAGGTTCAAGTTTAAAGCGGCACTTTAGAAAATAATCGAAAAGAACAAAACACTACAACTGCAGACAACAGTTCTATATATGTTTATTTTTCTTGTTAAATGAAGGACGACTGTGGATTTCAACTCCAAGTGGCACATTAAATTTGGTTCAAACAAAAAGGTCTCGTCTGATTTTTACTTTTTAAACTGAAACATAAAGAGTATTACACGTTTTTTGTTTAGTTTTTTTGCTTTCTACCATTTTACTGTTGTCGTTCTTTATCAAAAACCTGCTCAAAGAGGTTTTAGAGTCGTCCATGCGTGTTTGCGTCATCCAGAGATCTCTCCCGGGCCTGTCCAAAGCCGCCTGAAGATTCTGTGCAACTCGCCAGAAATCACCTCCTCGAGCCAAAGAAAATGAAAAGAAAAAAAAACTTTTTTACTAGATCTAAACCAGGACTAAACCAGGACTGAACCAGGACTAAACCAGGACTGAACCAGGACTAAACCAGGACTAAACCAGGACTGAACCAGGACTAAACCAGGACTAAACCAGGACTAAACCAAAACCAGGACTGAACCAGGACTAAACCAGGTCTAAACCAGGACTAAACCAGGACTAAACCAGGACTAAACCAGGACTAAACCAGGTCTAAACCAGGACTGAACCAGGTCTAAACCAGGACTGAACCAGGACTAAACCAGGTCTAAACCGAACCAGGACTAAACCAGGTCTAAACCAGGACTAAACCAGGACTAAACCAGGACTGAACCAGGACTAAACCAGGTCTAAACCAGGACTGAACCAGGACTAAACCAGGACTGAACCAGGACTAAACCAGGTCTAAACCAGGACTGAACCACTAAACCAGGACTAAACCAGGACTAAACCAGGACTAAACCAGGTCTAAACCAGGACTAAACCAGGACTAAACCAGGACTGAACCAGGACTAAACCAGGACTAAACCAGGACTAAACCAGGTCTAAACCAGGACTGAACCAGGTCTAAACCAGGACTGAACCAGGACTAAACCAGGTCTAAACCAGGACTAAACCAGGACTGAACCAGGACTAAACCAGGACTGAACCAGGACTAAACCAGGTCTAAACCAGGACTGAACCAGGTCTAAACCAGGACTGAACCAGGACTAAACCAGGTCTAAACCAGGACTGAACCAGGTCTAAACCAGGACTGAACCAGGACTAAACCAGGTCTAAACCAGGACTGAACCAGGTCTGAACCAGGACTAAACCAGGTCTGAACCAGGTCTAAACCAGGACTGAATCAGGACTGAACCAGGAGTGTCGGAACGGACCCGGAGTGCCCATGTAGACTGTTGGGTCAGGTCCTGGTTTAGTCCTGGTTTAGTCCTGGTTTAGACCTGGTTTAGTCCTGGTTTAGTCCTGGTTTAGACCTGGTTCAGTCCTGGTTTAGTCCTGGTTTAGTCCTGGTTTAGACCTGGTTCAGTCCTGGTTTAGTCCTGGTTTAGTCCTGGTCTGACATGTTTTATGTTTCTAAAAACTGCTGCAGATTTTGAGATTTTCAGGAGTTAAACCAAAACAACAGGACTCAGTTTGTTGGAGTCAGTGTTTCTTCACCAGCAGCTTCAGGGTTTGTTTTATTTATTTATACCGAGGACGTGTGACGGGGACGTGTGACGGGGGACGTGTGACGTGTGACGGTGAAACTGCGTCACCAAACAAACACCCGGGGCGTCGTTCGTTCGTCTCTGTCCCCGGAGCCGGAGTCGGAGTCGGAGTCGGAGTCGGAGCGTCGAGCTCCCAGTTTGTTTCAGCAGACGCAGCATTTTTAAAACTACAAAGACGAGGTGATGTGAAGATGTTTGGTGTTTTGTGTTTTTTGCTCTTTAAACGATCGATCCACACGAGGGAAAATAACTGTGATTAATATTTGATGGATGTTGATTAGTCCAGAGCCGCGTCCCAGTGTCGCCCCTAAACCAGCGGGGGGCAAATGTTTTGACTCGTGGGCCACAAAGGTTCTAAAATTTGACGAAAGGCCGGACAGGAGCAGAAAAAAAATCACATGAATTTCAACTGAAAGTCACAAAACATCATTACAACAACATAAACTTTTTTTTTTTTTTAAAACAAGAGTTTTTCAACTACAAAATTAAAATTCCGTGGTCTTATGACCGTTGGAAAATAGTTCTAAACCCTCCATCCTCCTCATTCAAAAGGGAAGTTTGCGAGGGGCTCGTCACTGAGCTGTGCTCAGGAGGATTCACTGAGCCTCCTAGTGGCCAGAGTGAGACATGACCTCTGCGTGATGGCAGCGCAGGGCAGGGCCCATCAGGAAACACAGAGGTGACATCATAAGGCAGAAGTTTGTGTGTCGCTGGTACCGTCCCAGAGCTGCAGACGAAAGCCTGTGGGACAGTTTAAATACAAACACACCTGTGGTTCACAGTGAGTTTACAGTCGGTCTGTGTCGAGCTCTGGGTTTTACACTGAGTTTACAGTCGGTCTGTGTCGAGCTCTGGGGTTTTACACTGAGTTTACAGTCGGTCTGTGTCGAGCTCTGGGTTTTACAGTGAGTTTACAGTCGGTCTGTGTCGAGCTCTGGGTTTTACACTGAGTTTACAGTCAGTCTGTGTCGAGCTCTGGTTTACAGTGAGTTTACAGTCAGTCTGGGTTTTACACTGAGTTTACAGTGGGTCTGTGTCGAGCTCTGGGTTTTACAGTGAGTTTACAGTCGGTCTGTGTCGAGCTCTGGGGTTTTACACTGAGTTTACAGTGAGTCTGTGTCGAGCTCTGGGTTTTACACTGAGTTTACAGTCGGTCTGTGTCGAGCTCTGGGTTTTACACTGAGTTTACAGTGAGTCTGTGTCGAGCTCTGGGGTTTTACACTGAGTTTACAGTCGGTCTGTGTCGAGCTCTGGGGTTTTTACAGTGAGTTTACAGTCGGTCTGTGTCGAGCTCTGGGTTTTACACTGAGTTTACAGTCGGTCTGTGTCGAGCTCTGGGTTTATGGGCTCGATGCGGCACATGGAGAATAATACTCATGCATCGCTGCTGCAGACAGTTCATCTGAGTCTTTCCTGCACCTCACATTAACTCTGAGCCGTGTTCTAGTCCAGATTCAACACAGGCCTTGGAAATGTGGAACAGAAGATCATAAATAACCTCAACACAAAGATCGAGATACGAGCCACTTGACCTGAAGGGTTTAAGTTCGAACTGTGACGTTAAAGGGGGAATCTGTTTGTTCATTCGTTTTTCAATATAAAACCAAAAATTAAAAAACAACTATTTTCTTATCTTATCTTATTTGTCTCCAAAACCAAAATGAAAAAACAGATAATGATTCATTTTTTCAGTTTTTGATTTTGTGTTTAAATGAAGAATAGAAAGAACAACGACCGTTTCCCGTTTACGTGACTCACGTGATGCCGAACTTCTGCACCAGACCAGTACCAGAGCAGGACTGAGACCAGAACCAGACCAGAACCAGACCAGAACCAGACCAGACCAGAACCAGACCAGGACCAGAGCAGATTCTGAGCTTTGACTCTGAGCCTCCAGAGTCCGAGCCTCAGCTTCGAGC